TAATATGCAAAGAAGACGATACTCCTTGGAAGTATGCTACCGTTCTGTTGACCAAAGAACTTGACAGCCAACCATATCGTTTAGTTTTCCACCTCGTGAGTTGAACAGATATTTGGTTGTAGTCCTGATGGATGTTGATCTAGTCATCGAGTTTGGTAGTTTGCCTTCATTTTACCACCAATTATCATTGGTAGTGGTGGTGGTGGCCCCGCGATTGGTGTTCAAGCGTTCACAAGCATAGTGCTAGGCCCTGTAAACAGATTAACAGTCATCTGTCCTAGAGCCAGTTAACGCACCCAAGTTAAAGATATCTCATTATATTGGCAACAACAAAAACTGCCCAGTCTTTGACTTTGTAATGTGACTGTATCTCTGCCTTCTACAGAGTGCACCAAGGAAAACGTACCTATGGAGATCGCGTGATACTTCCGAAAAACGTTGTTGTTTTATTGTACGTGTTTTGAAACTGTAAGAAATTAAGCCCTGGTAAAAACAAATATTCATCAGGTCATCGAATAGCTCCATGCCTATAAGGTTTGAAAGATCTGTCAGAAATTGTCGTTGGTTAACGTGTACCAAAAAATCTGTTTGGTGTTTTCGGTTTGTTTGTTACTAAGATATCGTTTGTGAGCCATGGATTTGGTGAACTGCCCTCGTCATGGGTGTTTGGCTTAATCGTCCACATACGCACTTGATTGTTGATGTAGGTGTTCCAACCCGCCTCAGGCTACCGTTTAACTTTTAGGATCGTGTTGGCTGAGCTGCTTTTAGGTCACTTATAGATGGAAAGAGTAACTCGATGTTGTGGCTAGACTTGAACCAAAGAGCTTGTTAATCACTTGCCCCGTCCAACACAAGTTCGGTTGTACTGAACTCTGGAACCCATAAACAACACGTGAAATACTCACTTTTTGAATACACCGTTTCGGTTGGATATAGGTACTTCGGATGGTCAACTAGTCGGTATTCACCGCCTAATGTTGCGGACTATACTGGCTACTTCTCACGTACAGCCGGCATTCTTCTGGTAAACTTCTGGCATGCGTCTTGCATACATCCGAGTTTCTGAGTTATTGGAGGGAATAAGCTAACCGTTCTGGATCTCATCATGTCTTTCCAATTCTGCATAGTACGGTCTGGAATAAGTTGCTCTATATGTTTAGAAGTTACTGTACTGGTATAAATTTCAATTTAGAAGATTGTGTCGCAAAACCTTTCTAGATTAACCTCTCCTGAAAAGATACATCATGTTTCTTCCGGGAGCCTTTGCTGATGTTAACTTTAATGTAGATACCTTCACCACCGCAAAGTGATTTTTAGAACTCTTAGCCTGAATATAATATGCTGTTTTGTGTCAGCAACGAAAAATTGTCCTCTCCGCAAACAATAATTATATGAAAACACTTGATCATCGAACGAGTGTAAGGCCTTTTTTCTTGAATAACACAAACGCCTAAACCTTTCATCCACTGTTCAACTTAGTTGGAGTTTATTCATTTACATAGTGGACTCATTTCTAATCACGGCAGACTACAATTTCTACTAGGCCCAAACAACATGTCTGTTGTTGGCCCGATTAGTGCTGAGGTGAACGATTGCCATGACATTTGTAATAGATGTAACACCTTGAAAATGGACGAAAATTTTGCTGTTTGCCAAGTACGGCTGGTACTTTCGGAACGCCATCCAGTAGAGTTTGAGAAGTAATAGGTTTATACCACTAACCGTACTGGGGGAAAGACGACTCAAGTGGTAAGAGCGCGAATTCACTGACCGAGAGATCCGTGGTTCGAACCCGACCTCTGCCTCCCGACTTCTATCTAGGCTTGGGCAACTTGACATTATGCCAGCCCTCGTGCTTCCTTTGGGGAGCATGGCAACTAGGCACCGAAAGTGTGTTATAGCGGAATGATTATCATATTATTATCTGTACCTATGGACAACACTCTATAACTGCACCTGATAAGGGTCCGAGGTTCTTTCGGTCCTTTGGGTAGACTCATGGCGCTTGGTTCCTACCACTCAACATGCCACAATTCGATCGATTGTGTAACTGTCAGGTCTCATATGGGACGGAATTTCGCCTACGAGGTTCTTTCGGTCCTTTGGGTAGACTGGTGGCACTTGGTTCCTACCACTCAACACGCCACAATTCGCTTATCATTTACAGCGTGTTCAATCGATTATGTAACTCTCAGGTCTCATATGGGACGGAATTTCGCCTGTAAATTCCAGATTAAAACACTCGACCTGTGTAGGCCGCATTATTTGATCTTTACTCTTTTTATCTGAAATTGGCTTATTCCATGCCTGGGAGGACGAAAAATCCAGAAACTGAGTAAACATGTACTACCAAACTCGAATTATTCAGTCTCATTTCGCACACATACGCATTCAATATCGTGCAATCTATTTTCGGCGACAGCAAGCCACAGAAGTTCTCTCACGCACTTTACCCCGTACACTTGTGCTTACAAATCACAACGCACCGCCATCAACTTCAAAAACAGACCCATCTGATATCCTGCTAATCGATCCGAGTGAATGAATCACCATGGCATATCTTTATATCATTTCGAAGATTCTCCAACCAAATTAGTTCTCAACTGCCCAAACGTTACCGGTGTCACGTAACTTGAGCCGCCGTTTTCTGGAGTCGAACCATTCACTTATGTTAGATACTTCTTTTATTTTTTGGTGGTTTGGTTTGAATTTTTTTCGCCTGAGGCAGTTTTTTATTGCTGTTTTATGTACCTTTAGCAAAGTTCCAAGTTTCTTAAGCGAGACAGCTACCACCGGGGACACATTGAATACCCTCCGCTCGATTTCGTTGAGAACAACATATTCAGATGGACAGTTCCACCATCAATTATTTTTTCTCAAGGAGTGATTCAACACACTAGATCGTCCATCTAAGTAGCACCTTAATGGCACATTCTAAGGAGTAAATAGAAATTTCGAACAATTTAGATTACAAAGCATGAGCCGACGCACCAGTGAATTCTGAACCTTTTGAAACCTAATTAAAATATCTGAGCAATTGTTTCATAAACACTGGTATTACTCGCTGGGACCTTAAGCTGCCGTTACAGTTCAAAGAACAAAACCGGACTAAAACTTGCAATCCCTCTGGCCGGTTAATGAAAGTAATAGTTATAACGCGATTCAACTCCAGAGTTAGGTGAATCATGTATCGAATTCTAGTGGGACGAGTACGTCAACAAGCAATCGTTTAACTCAGCATATATTTCTGCTACATCTCTTTGGCATCATTGAATGGACAAACTCTGCCTGAGTCATTGTTTAGGGGAAGATGAATGAGGTAATTTGCGTTACTATGGTTTCGATCTTGAAACTACACGTATGTAGTGCTCAGAAAGGGAAACATCTCACACTTTACTTCAGCCATTTACTTCGGAAGTAGTCACGCGAGACCCAATGCAATGCTGGATTGTGTTACGCAGGCTGTGCGACCGAAGGATGGGTGACGCTTTGTCCGGTGCAATTTACCAACACAGCGAATCAGTATGGCAGTCAACTACTAAACAGCGAGTCACCTGTTCGAATTCCCCAAGGATTACTAAACTGCTGATGACCTTCGACAAGGACAAACCAACTACGCAATGCTTCTTAGTTTTTACAAATAGATTGACTCCACCTACAGAGCCGAGTCTTAATTTAAATTTCAAAAACTTCTTGCTGCCTTGAAATGAAAATTGTTCTCCTAAAGAGTCATCCATGTAGACCTTTGCAAACACTTACACAATTCTTAAGACCGCCGAGCAGATTTTAAACCAACATGTATTGCTGTCAGATCAAAGCTATTTACAAAGCAGGTCAAATTTTATCTTCCCGTGTGGTTGTTGATCCTCCGATTGAAGGTACTTTCTATATATAAGCGATATCATCTGGTCTGTCTCGCCGATACCGTCCTGCAACAATGCACTGCCACTGTTTGTAGCATGAGGAGAATTTGGAACTTTCGATGGATATTTCTTTCTCTATAGAAGAAAATGTCGGTAGCTGACGTAGCGTAGATGGTCTTTGGCTTGTTCGCTGAACTGGGAAATTCGATTGCAAACGTTTCATCACCAATCGAAGTGACATCATTGGGGCGTTATTGGTTGTGCACAGCCACTAACCCACCGCTACGCACCACTACGCTCCCCAATAACACACTGATGATGTCACTTCGATTGGTGATGAAACGTTTGCAATCCAATTATCCAGCTCAGCGAACAAGCCAAAGACCATATTTCTTCCTGCAAGTGAAAGTAGTCCATGCTGAAAGGCCAGGAAGCACATTGCAGCTGTTTTATCTTTAGTAGTAATCACCAGTAGTGTGCATCTTATGGAACTACATGGAGGTCGCGGGCCAAAGACCCTGAAGTTTTATGAGACGCGCGTGGATGACAATTCCCAACAAGAAGAAAGCTGCTGCACGGTGATTCTTGGCTTGTCAGCATAGATTGTTTTCACTTACAAGACTAAATCCCCAATAAAAGTGCTGCCACTGTGTTATCACGATATGGTGACAGTTCAGAGACAGAACTAGGCATGTTATCGAGAAACACACTCATTTGAAAATCAATTTGGTTTGCAAATGAGTGTATTTCTCGAAAACAGTGCAATTTGGGTCTAAGTAAGTGGTAAGTTTGACGGGAACCCTGGGACTGCGCCTACCTGATGAGCCCCAAGAAGGGCGAAACCAGTCGTGGGATGTCGACGGATTTTCAGCAACCTTATGAGTAGTACATTACAAAAATGGGCACGTTATCGTTTTTCCAAGGTCCCTGAAGACTTCCCCGCCATATTATGATTGTACCTAGGTTTGTGGCTGTTAGCTGCTGATAGTATTGGCTACCAATGCCACGGTCCATTGCGTCCCTCGCTTCACGCGTTCATGCAGTTGTGAAAACTCCCCCCGCGCTCTTGTCCACAACATTTTGCTAGTTGTTTGGATGGACTACAAGTTCTCTTACTCATCGTTCCATTTTTAGACACCTCCGCCAAATATGCCACCTTGTGTATTCGTGCTTGAGCAGGCACTTTCAGTTCGCGCGCTGCAAGAAATGTTGTCTATACGATCTCAAGGCTCTGACGTAAGTTCTCGAGGACTGTTAGTCCTGTTTTTATCAAGCATATTTTGAAAAAAATCAATGGTACATGTGAGTTATCAGTAGAGCCTTCGTCCAAAAAGTACTAAAAATGATGAGAAAATACATTCAGGTGACGCTGCACCGTGTGCCACATTTTGAGAAAGAGCTTTCCAGAAATTGAATTGTGCAACAATGGATGAAGGACATTTGGGATTATATGGTGCTTTTTTCCTTCCTGCTTACCCCTCCGGGACGTTTCATCACTCACTGGGAAGTCCTTCAGAACTGGAAGCATTTTTCCGTGGCGTAGAAGTGACACTTGTATGCTTGTAAATGCGGAGACAACTTTCGCAGTTTATATCCCAGTATTAGGTTTCTGAATTTGTAGAGGGTAGCATCAATGGTCGAGTTAGAGGCAAAACACCAATGAGTTCATCTGTGGCGTCTTGGTCTGTTGGAAAACGGAAAACTCACTGCTCTATTTGAGCAGTAGTCAATTCGCACCATTTTCGTTCTGTAGACTGGTTTTGCAAGTGGTGATGGATGCAGCCAGAAGGCGACGCTGCTCGTGTTCTCTCCTGCTGCATTCAAACAACGGTTTGGTTTCCAAATGGGTCCAAATGGATCTAATGAGACCGCGGTATCCGAACCGCAATTCCTCAGGTAATTGAATGAACTGAACGCTAATGAAATTGACGAAAACGGTTTCTCCTTTATATTGACTAATATCAACCTCATTCCACTGGGACTGTTCAATTTTTAGGGGGGGGGGGGGGGGGGGATCTCAGCAGGAGTCGCTTTACAGGGAAAATGGACGTTCTATCAGTTGCTACGGCACTCTTCAATATTTTCTGCTGTAGGTGTAATCTGTGTGTAGCACTCAGCTGGATGCACACGCATGTCAATACAAACAGCATGTGGCATTACTTATCCCATGCAAGGGACTGCTGACACGGTTCGAGTAGTATGCAGTCTCAGAGCCGAATACCAGCCCTCTGTAGCTCCATTTGGACCGTTTGGTCGTAAAACTTACTCGATGCTACTGATTATGCCGGACCTTCATCACTTGGACAGCAAAAAGCCTCATCAACCGGGAGGAAGCAGTTCACAGACCTGAAAACAAAGCGTAAAAATCAACTCGGGAGCAAAAACACAGGTCATCTCAGCGGATGGGCTGTCAGCATCTTTGGAGAGTGGTACAGTACGTTGTGGTGTGATTTCCAAGTTCGCAAAAGTGAACTATCGTGAATCGAACCCAAATATCTTTCCCTTAAACCGTACCGAAAATCGATATCAACATGGGAAGGATTAGTTTTTGGACGTTTTCCTAACAACCACTTATTGTGCAACCGTTCAAAAGCACAATATTCAAGTGCTGCTTTTTGTGCGTTTTTGTGTGTTTTAAATAATGCGACATCGATTTTTCGTCTACAGGGTGCCGGACAATCGGGACACAAAACCCTGCTATATGGGCATGCTATTCGGTTGAAGCACAGAGAAAGTAACATGGTACGTTTGGCAACAAAAATGTATGTTTTTGTTATATCTGCTGCTTCGTTAATCTGTTGTATCCGGCTCTTGACCCACTCCAGTGCCCAGTGCCGGAGTCTGTCTGGTCCACATCCAGCGGAGCTGAGAGTCTCGGTAGATTTCGGGCATTCAGTGGTTGATTTCAGGAATCTAACCTTCCTAATGGTTTTGAACTCTCTTCCTCTCAACCCAACCCCGTTTTCGCTCTGGCTTTGTGTACACAGAAAGTTGGTGATAATCACGCATAAAAGGGAAGTTCGAAGCAGCGGTGCATTGTCTTGCAATTCCTTCACTGGTCTAATAACTCGCATTCTCTTCGCTCGAAAACCTAGGAAAAATAATTACAAAGTTATATCAGATTACCGTCCTGAAAGTTTGAGCGAAAGCACTCAAGGTACCGGAGTTATCTTGTCGACTTACGGATTGTTGATATACAAAAATTCAGGCCCTCTGTTGTTGAAATCAAGTTGTACTGGCAAAGGTGTGGGAAGGATCCATTTGTTCTCCTGGCCGGACGCAGCGGACTGCAGTTTCTCGGCTGTTTATTTTAGGATACTGTTGGCCTACAAGCCCCAAAAGGGGCACACATTCCAGCAAGGCGGACAATAAAATGGGTTCTACACGCTGCGTGGACATTTCGGTTCATTCGGGATAACTGAAAAGTAAAAGTGGAGCCGAATGAGAACGTCTGAAACGTCCCCAAAACGGGAGATATTCAGCATCGTCAGCGAGTTTATGTGACCTCGGTGCAACCACTTTGAGTACTTGAAGCGTCAAGTTTCAAACGCTAAAAGTAAATGCTAGCTAACGCGTCACTCAACATCTGTAGTGTTCCAAACTACTCACTACTTACTCAACGCTGACGAAAATATACTCAGACAACTGATAACAACGTGAGTAGTCTGTGGCCATAGTAAATCTCTGAACAATAGCTGTTACGTGCAGCGTTTTTTTGACACCGTGTACGAGGGAGTCTGCCGTTCATTTCGTTTGTCAAGCAGAAACCGGCACACCTTCGACGACGCAGGTAGGGAATCAGAAACCGAATCGCACGTCGTTTGACCTACTCCTCACACCCTCATATATTGTTACGTTCCACTACCCGAGGAAGTCATTTTGAAAACTAGCGAAACGTTTAGTCCGAACTTGATGGTTTCTCTTGGTCACTCGTTGTTTGTTTTATTGAAGTATTCTTTTCCATATTTCAGTATCTTTCCTGCTTGTCAACCAGCACGTCACAAGATAAACTGGCATTTGACGTCGGCCTACAGTCTACGGCAGAAAGTGAGTGAAATTCGCCAAGTCCAGAGTTAGACTGTCGCACAATCTGTTCATAGAATGGCGCCATCCCCTGCCCAATCTCAGTTTAAATATCAAAAGTATCAGCGACGAAGGCTCTCTTCAGAAAAGATCGACTTCTAAGGTCATAGGATTCAGGATTCAGTGAGCATCCTAAGAGGAAAATAGCTTGGAGAAAGGGAGATCTTGGCCTTCCTTCGGATAGGTCTTTCTTAGAGGGCTTACCGTTATCTAGTCCCCATTTGTGAGAGGGGGAGGCAACTAAATCAGGCAGCACTGTATGCCGTTTCCAGAGCAGAAACGGATAGTGCATCACCGATGCATCGGGCCGATATAAGTTGTTGTCTTCTGCGCTCAAAATACCTGAACAACGCTGTTTCTAGTGCCCGCTGACCAGTGTTGCCCTCGCTGATAAGTAGAAACTCCAATCGGGAGTACAGGAGGCCTCCCTCGTCAGGGCAAGGTCCTCTTTTTCTCCAAAGCTTATGGTAAACCAGAAGTTTTGTATGCCTGTTACCTAACCGGTGCTTGGACATCGATCCTGCACAAGTGGATCACTTTTTACTTTCCAGGCACCCACTTAGCAAATTCAGTAAATATGTTAGCTTGCACAACTGTTTCAATAAACATGTGTGGACCGGATTCCACGAGGATTTCTGAAAACTCACAACGATGGAGTTTCTTTATGGGTGGCCGGTAAATCTACCGCGGCCCTTTCAAGATAGTCGTTCCTATCCAAGAGGTTCTCATTCGAGCGACTAGTAACCTTTGAAACTCTTATTTTCATCTCTTTAGTGGCCAGGTCAAAGGAGGATTAAGACCGCAGTAAAAATAGCTTGGCTGAAATCAAACTCCTGTGTTGAGGTCAGCTGCCGGAATTGTATTCATCAGTATGGCCTGTTTGCTCATCAAGTGTAACTGCGCAGACTGCAGTGGAGACAACAGCAAAGTGCAGTGGCTCGGCGAATTTAGATTATGTCCCGATGACATTGCGACTGTGCTCATCGTTCTCTGATCCCAGCTGGCAGCAAATACCCGAGGAGGAACCGCTACGAAGGATGCATGTAATCAGGAACACTGCAAGGCTAGTGTGCCATAGATACTGGCTAACGGGGCACGTTTAATGGACCCTTGAGGGGAACAGCATAGTTTCATAGATGATTTCCTGGAATTCACACTGTATTTAAGCGTAAGATGCCAATCCAAAAGTGTGATCAGTGTAAATGACGAAATACGTCCATTGAGTAGCTGCCAACGAGAGACTCAAATGAATCCCAAATGAATATCTGGCTTGTGCCATACTTCAACCGGATTTGTATTCCATCGAGAATGTATACTGTGGTATCTCGATTGTCGTGCAAACTGAAACATGAAGCGGTCTTCGTTCTGCACATTCTGTTGTGTAAGAGATTCAGCTGGGATTCAGTCGAGTCCCCTGTTAACACCTAGTCAGTTTGCAATTGGGTCCACTTCCTCAGTCGCGTACAATCTGGTGTTCAAGTAGATAAGCCCCAAGAAAGGTGTGCCGCAGAAGAGTTTCAAAATAGTCCAATAAGTAGTATGTTCCGTCAAGTAGTATCTATCTTGGGTCCATTCAGGTGGCATGGCAGTTAGACACCGGAAGAGTGCTACAGCTGAACGTTTCTTTCTCCTTCATCAGCCAGCCGGTTGTCTCAAACTCCTATTCCTGAATCCGTAGGGGATTCTTAGCCAGCTTACTTTTGCGGTTTGGATACACACGGAATGCTTATGCTTTCGGAGTCCTCTCTAGGAAGTGGAGTAAGCTTCTGTTGGGCTTAGAGACAGCAGGTGACCCAGTGACATTGTAAGCTGTATGTCCTATTAAATCTGCAGCTGTCCTCCGACAGCGGGCCTCTCAGGAAGAAAACAGAGTGTTTTTCACTTATTCTACCAAAACGTCATTGAATATAGGTATTCTCTGCCACCATAGTAGGCGTCAGTGTGTGAAAAGTTGTCAGATTGAGTGTTGTATGTTTAACTGACCTCCGAACTTGGTTATCCTACTCTGAAATTTGGCGTCTCTGTGTTCTCCCAACTGATCTGGCTACATCAACCTAGTGAGTCCGTATTTGGATCGATTTTGTCCAGAATCGGTCCACTGCACCTGTTTCAACATTCTGATAACAAGCGAGGTTTATCAAAACCAAAACATGTGGGGACTTTGCGCAATTTTCTTTTCGAAAAAAAGTTATCAGTCAATGATAAGAATGGGAGTATGCCACAGTCTTTTGGCATGTCGGAATCCGGAATTTGCAGAAAACACGGGTCAGTATCCTGAAAAAGGAGTCGACCGCAGTCCGCCGCGATTCGCCAGGTGAGACGTATCAGCAGATTTCTACAAATTGTTCAGTTGGTACCTCGTCCAAACGGCACTTCCTCTCTAGTCCAGGTGCAATTACTTCAAGTTCCACTAGGTTTTATTGGAGGAGAGGGGCCGCTGAACCACACCGGGGAAACAATTTTAGGTGAGCTCAGTCAAGTTGAACTTCCGTTGTCTTCCTCTGCCCCAAATTGTATTCTAACTATAGAAGTGTGATTCTACTCTCCGGTGCAAGTTCTGGAGACTGGATCGATTCAAACACAAGTGCTCGTGTAGTCAATGACCAAATGTACGGGGGGGGGGATAAGTTTGTGTTGTAAAATCGACCCAATCTTCCAGTTCACACTTGTGTTTCGTGGCCAAATTCTGAACGAGTTGGAATAAGAACCTGTAGGAAGGCAATCTCAATGATGTGAGGGTCTTTGAGGATAAATCAAGAGTTGGAATAGATCCTGTAAGAAAACAATCTCAATGATGTGAGGGTCTTTGAGGA